TGTCAGATACTTTTCATTTTTCTGTTTAATTTATGCTCCAACGTAAGCATCAGTCACCAAATATACATGGGTATTTATTAAATCTTTTTAAGTATATATTCAGATAACAATGAAAAGAGAATAATTCATACATTCACTCACTTTGTGGACTATAAAATCTCAGAACCTGAGCAACTGAAATAGGATAACTAAAGTGTACAGTTTTTAGAGTGTATTTCAATGTGGCAACACCCTCTTCATCTCCCAATAGACTTGGTCAAATTCCTAAGACAATGTACCACAAGGTACTGGCTAGGGGTAAAACATATCCCCTAGAGAGACAGGAAAAGTTCCTGAGACACAGGAGATTGCAGTATGAAAAATAATACTTAATGTTAAATGTAATTTTATAATTAAAATTGGAAACAATACCATAATTTCTATAATACAAATTAGGGTAGGTAAATCTTCAGCATAATTTTTTCCTTTTAGATGGGGTAGTGATTTTCATGTAGTTTTTGGTGTGTGTTTGTGAAAGGAGGTTGTACTTAGGAAAGTTTGGGAATGTCTAGAGGTGATGTGTGTGTGATATTTTTGGTTTACCAAAAATGGGAATGTTAAAAAAAAAAAGATTTCGTTAACATCGATCTCCAGGATGTGCTTGTCTTACAATGACTATTCTGTCCCTCACTGATGATTATTATCCTGTTGGTCTTTATCATCTGAAAATACATGGGAGTCAAAGTCTTGATTGCCCCAAGTTGGTCAAGCATCCAAAACAGTGCCGCTGATTATCAGTCTCCCCACATGGACTATAGCTGCATGTGTGTGAACTCTCGGAGAACTTGTGAACTAGATATAAAAGTGTTCTGGAAGTTCTCTCTCCCCTGCTTTCTCTCACTCTTCATTCCCACTGTCACTTCAGATACTGGCTCCAGATGCCCTTCGCTCATGGCCAGGCATTTGGATGCGGTCTCCTAAGGCCTTTCAATTTTCTCTACTAAACACCAATAGGTCCTTGCTGAAAAATGACGTCGAAGGTCATACTTCACAAACTGGAATGCTATATCCCCTGGGTTATCTATAGCCTCAAGATAAATCGTGTAGGAAGCTTGGTTTTAAAGGAACTCTTCCACCACTAGGGGTGAATAATTTCAAATATTAAAAATAAATTAAAGCTACCATGTATTTTGTAAATATCTTCAATATATCCACAGGATTATTTTTGTGAATAGCTCAAACATATTGCTTGAGGAAGGGGTGGGTTTCCTGCAGGAAAACCAAGATCATTAAGAAATCAAGCTTTTAATGGATTGTTCCTTCAAAGTATTTTTCATGGTAAATTCTGAGAAGCAAAGACTTAAGTAAGATATTATCTTTTCTTGAGTATTTGAAATATATTAAGGATCTCTTGAAAAGCCTTTGAAGTCCAAGATTTAATCATTTCTTAATTATATAATGTGGCATTTTTTTGATGAGCAGGAGTAAGAACATTTGAGCAGAAAGGGCTGGAATCACTAAAATATGTCATTTCCCATTTATTACCCCATGTTTCCCCCTGACCTCACTGTCCATTTTTCACTTTCTAGTATGTGAACCTAGCAAGAACTGATGATACCAAATCTAGAGAACTAGACACTACACGTACTCATGAAGTAAACTGAACCTTTCCCTGGACCTAGGGAAAGGCAACTGGGAGAGATGACAATTATTTTAGGCATGAGGAAACAGAGCTTTCTATCTGATAATACTTGGAACTGGAACTGAAAACTTGAATTTTCTGAGAAGTTGGTTGAAGGTGTCTCAACTTTAGAAAACTTTTCTAAAGGTTATCTCCCTCTGCTTTACTGAAATATGCTTTTTAGTCTGTTTTTGTATGATAATTTAAAAAATACTAGGTTGCATTTGACATTATTGACAATAAACTCTAAAGTGTATACTTACGCAGGACAATACTGGCAAACAAAGAAGAATTTTAGAGGATTTTGATTGGGGCAGTGGGCAAATCCACATCCAACGAGGTAAGAAGAGTACCAAACAACCTACCAATCCCATAAATGAGAGAATGTAAGAATATGTTAGAGTAAAAGGAAATATTAAAAAACAAATAGTAGGAAATAAAAAACTGAAATCAATGTTACTGATGCACTTTGTTTTCACATGCCTTATATTAATAGATATATGTAGTTAAATTGTTCAATCAAATTAAAAAAATTAAAATATTACATTTCCATGTACATTTTCTACTTTATCTATTTAGGCTGTTAGAAAAATAGAGTATATTTTCTTACCAAATTAAAATATTACATTTAATTTTACTTGAATAGGAGAATAAAAATAAAACAGAATTAGAAATGTCATCTGGTAACATATCTTACATTGCAGTACATTTTTTCCTTGCATTGCTCCTCAAGCACTACTAGCTTGCTTTACTTTCTAGTGTCTTGTCAATTCT